AATATATATGAAAATTCAAACATAAAATATGTTAAATTATGGCTAAGTTATCTATCAAATATTTGTATTTACATTGCCGAATGCTATAATATTATAGTTGAACTATTAACAAATGTTTAATGAATATCTATATTGATTTTATGCCGAGTGGCACCAAATAGCATAAATTCGGCTTAAATTTAATTATAAAAAATTTAAAAATTTGGCAATAATTCGACATGCCGAATGATTAAATTTCGACTAGTGTTATGTGCTAATATAGTTATGGAGGTAAACATAAAGGGCTAATCAAAAAAATAATGAAAATGTATTTGGTTTTTAGAATATATTTGATCTTGTTAATGGAGATAATGGTTCTGAACGATATAAAATATTTTATTTTTTTCTTTTGTAAGCATAAATATCAATAATATTTTTTAATTAAGGTTGTAAAATATATTTGTATTTATTATTATTTTATATTTTAGGAAGAAAAAATAAGTAGTTTTAATAATAACTCTATCTCCAAAACCAATGAAAGTAATGTTTCCAAGATCACTTAATCCAGCAACCCATTATCTAATTCAGAAATAGTGGATTTTTCTTGAACTTATAAGCAAACTTTATATATGTATCTTGCAATGACTTTTTGAGTCTAGCTCCACTATACTGTACAATTGTCAGAGGTAACAATATTTGACAAATTAAATTTTATTTCAAATAGATAAGGTAGAGACAATATAAGAATGGTTCAAACTAAATCTGAGAAAACAATAACTGATATCAATTTATTATTTAATGTCGGAGATGATGCTAAAATCGAATGATGCTGAAATTCATGTGATATATATGTCACATGATAAGCAGCGGATTTCCGAATCGCGTCCCCTATAATCAATCAAATATCCGAACGTGAGATTAAGGTACCAGAATTTATACTTAGACAGCAGAACGGTGATCATTGAAGTGAGAATTCACTAAGAAGTGTGTAAAAACTCACCTGCCAAATGAACTAGTCCTAAAATTGATGGCACTCAACGTGATACTCATACCTCACTGTCAGGGTTGTATTGATGCTCTGACGAGTAGGCAGGCGTGAGAATCCTGGTGACGAAGTTATAGACGAAAACCTTGATGGAACAGTTCTCAGTGCAGATCTTGGTGGTAGAATTTTGAAGACTGAAGTGGCCAGAGATATGGTTTAAGGGCATGAAGAACTCGACATTTTTGTTGGATCCGATGCACTCTCGATAATCCTTGAAAAACATGAAAATAATTATTTTCATGCCAGATCATACTTATAACCACAGGTCTCCAAGGTAAACAGCCTCTAGTTGATAGAATAATGTGTATAAGGGAAGTTGACAAATTAGATCCGTAATTTCGGGAAATGGATTGGTTTTAAGGGTTGGATGCATTGGATCTCGATTTGGAGGTTCAGGAGTTCCTTGATGCCAGTTTCGATAGAAAGCTTGGTTTCACCCGGGCTGGAAGGTCTTGGCTTGGATACTTAACAACAGGTATCTGTCTGGTGTACGCTTAACAACCGACTCAGAACTGGCATGGACAAGAGAGATCTGACTGTCTAATTAAAATATAGCATTGCGATGGCTGTTGACGCAATATGATTTCTGCCCAGTGCTCTGAATGTTAAAGTGAAGAAATTCAACTAAGCGCGAGTAAACAGTGGGAGTAACTATGACTTTCTTAAGATAACCAAATGCATTGTCATCTAATTAGTAATACACATAAATGGATTAACGAGATTCCCACTATCCCTACCTACTATTTAGCAAAACCATATCCAAGGGAACGGGCTTGGCAAAATCAGCGAGAAAAGAAGACCCTGTTAAACTTGACTCTAGTTTGACATTGTAAAAAGACAGAGGGTGTAAAATAAGTGGCGAGGGGTAAAGATGGGTCCCTAAATTATTTGTGAGGACATAATTCAAATGTCCCTTACTATTAAAAATTTTCATTTCTATATTAAGGAATAAAAAAAAACTACCTACAAAGGTTCTTTATAGTTTTAAGCATCTATACAAATCATTTCTGGAATTATGTCCCTATTGAAGTAAAGAGCTAGGAATTATGTCCCCTAGGGGACGTGGACGTAAAGGGACGTAAATTTTATATGCTAAATACTTTAGGGACCCATCTTTAGCGAGGGGTAACCTATCGGTGAAATACTACTACCTTTATCGTTTTTTTACTTCGACGCATCCGTATGGTTTAATACATAGAAGAGAATTATCTGTCAGAGAATGGGAGGAATGGTTAAAAAATGTTGAAGAGGAACTAAAGGTAGGGAAATTCTCTTAATTATAAATAGACTTTGTTTTTAATTTTCACGATTTATATGTTATTGTGATATGAAAGGTGTTACAATCTCCGCAAGAGATAGTTGATATGGGAGCCAAAAGAGAAGCATCTACTGAATTAGAGGATCAGAGTGATATACAGGATATGGATATCGACATGTTAAGCAAAGAAGCAGAAGAAACTCCTCAAACTTCGTTACATATGGAACTGACTAAACTTCAGATTACTCGACGTTATTATACTGATGCTGTTTGTTTTATTCACCAAATACACACTGCTATCCTGACACTTTGTCAGCTTCTTGTTTCTATGATCAAATCAGAGATTTTGGAGGCTATTGATTTTTTTGTCACAGCCTACACATATAAGATGGAATTTGCCGGAGAAGGGCTAAAGAAAATGTTACACTTGATTTGGACTAAAGATAATAATGATGAGGGAAAAGGAATTCGGAAACGATTGATCGAAAGCTATCGTAAACTGTATTTCGATTTTGATATTTCAATATTCGATAAAGAGAATGTATACATCATAACGAGGAATTTAATAAGGTATTGCCTAAGCAAGTAATAGGCATGCTTTTTGGAATAAAACTAAAGCGCTGCATCAACATTTTAGCTTGATGTTCAATGCGACTCTAGCTGAGTTAACGTCTTTAGAATAGCTTCTGAGTACGATCATGAATGAGTGAGATATCAGTGATGAAGTTATCATGAAGTTGTGGTCGGTTTATTGTAAGTATATGAGAATAACATGCAAGTCGTAACAGTATATTAATCATATTATTCTTGTTTTAATATCTCATATTAGCTGTATCCAAAAAGAAGATTCCGAAAGCATAACGCCATGGTATTATTATTGTTTTAAGCATGCTTGCGAAAGCAAAAATGGAGATTGTCCAAGAAAAGATTGATCTATTGCTAAAAATTGGACTAGGGTCTTTTGGAAAAGTAAGCATCAAAACTGGCTACATTTATTGTCACCATTAGCTATTAATTTATTAATCTTTTTTTTAGGCTGATTTTTCTCTTGCTAAATACACTTGTATCACATTGCAACATCTTGGTGGAAGTAAGACTAAAGTAAAAGGTAAGTAACTTGATAAAGACATTTTTCCGAAAATTTCTTATTGCATAAATTTGAAATTAATTCGAAGTTCATAAGGTTCGTTGAATAATGATTCGATTTGGTTGCCCATGTCCCATCAAATCTTTCATCGATTGAAACAGATGATTGAAATTCAAACAACTTCGCAAGAATGGTAACTGTTCTTTCCCTCGAGATCTCTGATTTTCGATTATTTGAATTTGTTCATTAACTCCTTGTGCTTTCATTGCTTACATTTCTGCGTTAAGGTCATTCATTGGCCGATCTGTGTTGAAGACATAGTCGGGTGGGGAGTTTGGCTTAAATCCATAGAACCATAACTACAAAACTAAATGCTACTTAATTAATGTATGATCTGTAATGCTATTATCATTTCACAGAATATCAATGATTTTATTATAATAAAAAAAATCTGTAATGCTATTATCATTTTGCAGAACATTAACGATTTTACTATAATAAAAAAAAAGGTTTGAAAAAACTCTTTTCGTTTCTATTATAACCCTAACCTAATCTATTCTAATTGTGACCCTAAACTAACATATTTCCATAACCGATCTTTTAATTCACATTTTTTTTAAAAAAAAAAAATATTTCTAAAATATTTCTAAAAAAAAAAAAAAATTTTTTTAAAAATCGATTACAATTTTTTCTTTATAGCCCGGACCCATTTGACAGGAATTTGAATATCTTTGCTATTCACTTCAACAATTGCAGTATAATTATTGGACTTGAGGGACTTAAAAATACCTTGTTCTGAAAAGGTCAGCTGCAACTTTCTCTTGCGAGTTTGTTGATTCATATTATGATCGGGCGCAATAGCAACTTCAGTTCCAGTTTCAATTATATTATTTGCTGTTTTTTTTCTATGCACATTATTACGGCCTAAGTTTTCACGATACTTTTCAAGTGAAGCATTTATGGATTGGTGAATTTTGAGCATATGTGAAATACATTGTTCCATAGCAGCTTCGTCTGTTATAGTTTTGGAGGTAGTGGTTTCAAAAACAGTGGTCTTAGAGGTGGCGGTGATGGTTTCAGAGGTGGAAGTTTCAAAAGCGGCAATAGTTCTGGAGAAATCTGTTATAAGCAAAAAAAATCATATGTTTAGTAACTATTATAATATAAAAATAAAATCAATTCCAAATTCTAAGTTTTATATTAAAAATGATATAGACCGGGTGTATCATATACACAATGCATTTTCCATCCGAAAATTGCTTTGTGCAGGGTGCAGCCATGTGCTTTGTGGATAGTTGAATTATATGACATAACAAACATGTCAATTACATTAATCCAGTCTTTTCTCTGTAACTGGTTACTTTGATCCCACAACAACTTAGTAAAATCACGGCCCATTGTCTGGTTAAGTCGCTCAATTTGACCTTGTAACTGTGGATGGCGAGGCCTACCATGCCTGATTGTAATATTAAGAGCTTCACAAATTTCAGTAATAATTCTTGCAACAAACTCTTTACCATTGTCACTTTGGATAATCATGGGGGGTTCAAGAACTTTGAAAACATCTTTTAGAAGATGTGTCGCGACTGTGCTTGCTTCCTTATTTTTCATAGGAACTGCAATCAGAAATTTAGAAAACATACAAATACATGTAAGTAGCCATGCAAAATCATTATTGACTTTAGCAAAATCTCAGAAATCGATTAGATCAATTTGAATATGCTGCCATGGTGCTGTTGATATCACATTCTTCATGTCAATTTTTTCTTTGATAGAAGTAGTTATGGTACAAGTAGTGCATTGATTTACATATGTTCTTACTTCCTCTTGTGTAATTCCAATATGTTTTTCTGAAATTGCAGAAAAAGTTTTGTGATACTCCCGATGATTTGCTTGATCATAAAAATATTCTAAAATTAAAGCACATATCTCTTCATCATATTTAGGAATTACATGACATTTTTCCAATGTTATATCATCTTTCATAATCGGCTTGACATAAAGAAATTATTTTCATCAACTTCAAATTTTTTGCAACGACGAATAAAATTGGATTTTTTTGTGGGGTAAAGATGGGTCCCTAAAGTATTTAGCATATAAAATTTACATCCCTTTATGTCCACGTCCCCTAGAGGACATAATTCCTAACTCTTTATTTCAATAGGGACATAATTCCAGAAATGATTTGTATAGATGCTTAAAACTATAAAGAACCTTTGTTTTTTTATTTCTTAATATAGAAATAAAAATTTTTAATAATAAGGGACATTTAAATTATGTCCTCACAAATAATTTAGGGACTCATCTTTATTGTGGGGTCTTGTTGAATATCATTTGGTATAGTTTTTGACTGAAGATATTTAATGATTATTTGATATTCTTCCAAAGTTTCTGGAATTTTTGGAATCGCTGGCATATTTTTTTTTTTGTTTTTATATAAAATTCAGAAATTTTAAAAAATCTACTACTTATCATATGATATATATCACGTGAATTTCAGTATCATCCGATTTCAGCATCATCCCTGACAATATATAATATTAAATAATACATAAAATACATTTGACTTATCAAACACATGATATGGCTAATTAGCTTATTATAATTTATATCAGAGAATGTCTATACTTGAAATTAATTAATATCATCAAATTAATATATAATTAATATTATTAAATTTGATTTTCTAAAAGATATACAAGTTATCTATCCATTAAAATAGTTGATTTCTATTATCAGATTAAATAATGATAACTAATTTTTATTATTAAAAATATAATCTAAAAAATATATTATATTATTGACAACTGTGACTAATTTTTATTATCAAACCATTAATAACTATGGCTAATTTTTGTTTATTAAGTCACTAATAACTGTAACCAATTTTTGTTATTAAGCTATTAACAACTATAGCCAGTTTTGTTATTAAGCTACGACAATTGTAACCAATTTTTGTTATCAAGTCATCAACAATTATGACCAATTTTTGTTATCAAGCTACTAATAACTATAGTTAATTTTTATTATTAAGTCATATATTATAATCTAAACTAAGTGAAAATAATATAATTATATTATTTCTACTGTTTTTCTACTTAAAAAAAAAATAAGTTTATTAATCTAAAGATTTTTTTTGTTTATATAATACTATTGTCTAAGTTATAATTATTTATTTTAAAATTCTCTAGAAAATAAAGTAAAAAATATTTTATTAAATAATTTTATATGTTTTAAGTTTTAACTTGAATTTGATAAATTGAAAAAAAATTAACTTTTGTATACTTATTATATTGATTCTTGTTATGATAAAAAAATAATTATTCTTAATTATTCTTTTTAAATTATTTAAAATTTTTTGAAAAAATTTTCTATTATCTTTGTTTTTAATAGTTAAAGATAGGGCTTTGAAAAGTACCAAACTAATATCAAAGTGGTATCAAAATAGTACCAATCTATAATAAATTTAATATATGGGTTGTGACCTACTCATATAAATTTATAGTAAATTTAAGTATCGAATTAATATCAAACAGGTATCAAAGTGATACTATTAGAAGCTCTAGTTAAAGAATTTGAATATTATTGAATAGTGTTATAAATAATTTGAAAAATATTAGATATTGATAAACTGGTATAAAAAAATATAATTTTGTAATTATTAACAATAATGTTATTTTTTTTTTTTTTTTAATCAACTAGCTAGACCTTGCCTAACATGCTTTATTTAGTTTATATATGTTATTTCTTTTACAAGAGTTACTATCTATAAACTATTCTAGATGTATATTAGGCTATATCGAATTTCTTCCATATCAGCTTGTTGCTATTGACTAGTCCAAATGGTACTTGTCAAGGTTAACGTGTCAAGGCTTTATCAGTGTTATTATTATATGAATAAAAGAAATTAAAATTAATAATATTTTCACTCTGATCTAGCCAGCTCTCTAACAGCTTACACTGCATATTTGATATTTCATCTTGTTTCCCACTTTGGTGGTTTGGTTGTGTGTCACCTTGATTGTTATGCGAGTGTCCATAGTTCTTGCTTCTTTTCTTGATTCTACTAATATCTTTGCTAGCTTCCCATTGCTAGAAGCGTTGACATCTTTTTGACCATAATTTTTGAAGTACTTCTGTCATCCTACTTGTTACCATTTTCAGTGTGTTCTTTGTTTTCATACCATTTATTTGTCTTATCAGTGAGGTCAAGTTTTTGCTGAAGATTCCTTTAGTTATGTATCTGAGACTCCTTTCTGAGTCAGTTACTAATCCTTCGAGCTTGTTATGCCAATCGAATTTTTCTTTGGTTTCCATTTTGCATGAAATTTCTTCTTTCAGAATTCTTAAAAATTCTGATCTAACTTGGTCTGCATAATGTTTTATAAATATGTACTCTGTGGTTTCTTGGTGAATGCATCATGGACATTTCCCATCTTTGTAAAGATCTGGTTTTCTTTTAAATAGCTTGACTTTTGTGGGCAATTTCTCGTTAAGGAGTTTATATCTGAATGCTCTAATATTATGATCTTGTTGATTGGTAACAAAACTGGTAACCTTTGATGGTGACAGGCTGGCCCATGTTCTTTTCCAGTCTATTTCTTTTTCATCACCGGTTCTCAACCATGCCTTGTGTCTCCTTTGTATGGTCCATGCACTAATCCATTTGCTGTTTTGCCATTGTTTCATAAATCCACTGGTGCCAATGTCCAAATCTTCTTTATTCCATTGTAGTGTGCATGTCAGGCTATCAATGTGTTGACTTTTGATTCCGACCATCCATTCGTGTCCAAGCTCTCTCCCCTCCTTAGCCAAACTATCTGCTTTTTCATTGTTGCTGTTTCCTGCATGAGCCTTAATTTTCTTGAACTCCATTATTGCTTTTCTGGATTGGATTTTGTCTCTTATGAGAGTTGTTGTAAGAAGGTTTGTTGCTTTTGCTAGTCTCTGTTTCCTAGAAAGCTTGGATTGAATCGCGTATATTGCACTTTGGCTGTCTGTATGAATTGTTGCTATTGTGTTTGTGTTTATAATTGCCAGCACTGTAAGGATTGCTAATAGTTCTGCTCTGATGGATAATGGGAACCCTTCGCATCTGCCTTTGAACTCAATTTGTATTTGTGTTTCTTGATTAATGATGATTCCACCTATGCCCATTTTAACTTGCCTATTGGCATATTTGTTTAGTGAGCCATCTGTGAAAATGTCGACTGTCCTCCAATCCTGGATTGTTCTTTTAATTTCTTTAAGTTTCTCTTTGATTTTGTGTTGTAATTTGAGTCCTATGAGTTCTTCTGTATCTGTTGTATTGCTTATTGTATCATTAATGACGATCTGTAGAATGCTTACTGCTTCTGGTATTGTGTGACTCCAATTATGGATTTGTCTAATGGAGTTAGGTGATACTTGGACTCAGGGAAGATTACCTATTATGGGATTGTATGGTTTTGAGCTGTTTTTTGTTTTTTTACTGGAATGGCAATTGCTTCTTTGGTATTGATCTCCCTAATGCATGTGTTTGGTTTCCCTTGCATATCCATTCCGCATCTGCAGCATTTTTCAATAGGAGAATCTCCTGATATCTGTATATAATGTTGTGCCTTGAATTTTCATTAAGTACCCTGACCCGCTTGTTAACCTTACCTATGTAAATATTTTGATCAATGATTGTGGAAATGTATCTGTGATGTTGGATGCTATTCTGATTTGCCAGGTTACATGTAGCAAAAGTATTGGTATTAGTTTTTGGCTGGTAGTCTTCTTTCTCTTGGAACCAGTAAGTGATTTCTTCAAACCATTGTGGCTTCCAGCCTATGTATTTCATGCCTCCACGAGTCTTGAAGTGTGTCCATGTGATGCAGTGCGAATTTGTAGTATTTGTTACTTGTTCGATGAACATAAGATTATGTTTTCTCAGGTTATCTCTATTTTTGTTGTACCATGGGTTTGGCATGAAGTCTTCCAAAGAATTCCAATTGTTTTCTGAAATAGGAGTGATTAGCTTGAAGTTTTCTGTTGCTTTAATGTGAAGGTTGTTCGATTTCAAGAGATGAAGGATGCTTGCTGTAAAGTTGTAGTGAGGAAGTTTCGTAATCCTGTATTGTGTATTCAAGATGTTGTGAGTTGACCAAGCCCAGTTCTGCAGTTGTTGAAGTCTTGCTCTTGTGATTTGTCCTGTAATGTTTCTCTCATTTAGGTCTTGGGTCCATCTTGTTGTTTGTAGTTTCAACTGTCTATCATAGATATTGAAGATTTTGTATCCTGTGTGTAGATAAATACTACTGTTAATAGCTGTAGAAGGGAGCCCGACTTTGTGTTTGAAGGTTGATATGATTCTACTATTAATTTGATCACATTCTCTTTAAGTTAGTATGGTATCTTGGATGAGATACTCGATTGCTGGCATGAGAACTTGGTTGATTATGTATTAAATTGTTTATCTGTGACTCTTTTCCACTGGAGAAGTTTCATGATGAAGAAGGTTTTGTTGAGAATTAATTGTTTTTGATGTTTCTTTGAGTCTGCATTTGTTATCCATGTCCCAAGTATTCTCGTAGCTGTGTCCTTATCTTGTGCCCTGACTGTGTCCTCCTGGAGAATGATGGAGGCTGGTTTTGTATTGTTCATTGTTAGTAGAATGGACTTATCTGGATTTATCTTGAGGCCTGTGATGTTAGCGAAGCTTTAGACCATACTTTGAATCTTTTGTATCTTGTTTTTTGAATTTGTGAACCAGGTTGTATCATCCATATATGAGATTGACAATAATGTTATTTTTAAAAACTTGAATAAAATAGATATACTATATATTTGATTTATATTCATTAAATAAAATAATATTAAAAGGTTAGAAGAAAAATATATATTTTGAAAAATTTTTTTTGAGCTTAAAGATATTGAAAACTTTTTCAATTAGATTATTTAGATAGAATTTTAATAATAATAAACTTTGTATAAATATTCAATATATATATATAATGAAATTAAATTTAAATATTTTTTAAAAACCTTATTATAATAAAATTACTAAGTAATATCGGGAATGATGCTGAAATCGGATGATGCTGAAATTCATGTGATATATATCATATGATAAGTAGTAGATTTTTTAAAATTTCTGAATTTTATATAAAAACAAAAAAAAAAATATGCCAGCGATTCCAAAAATTCCAGAAACTTTGGAAGAATATCAAATAATCATTAAATATCTTCAGTCAAAAACTATACCAAATGATATTCAACAAGACCCCACAAAAAAATCCAATTTTATTCGTCATTGCAAAAAATTTGAAGTTGATGAAAATAATTTTCTTTATGTCAAGCCGATTATGAAAGATGGTATAATATTGGAAAAATGTCATGTAATCCCTAAATATGATGAAGAGATATGTACTTTAATTTTGAAATATTTTTATAATCAAGCAAATTATCGGGAGTATCACAAGACTTTCTCTGCAATTTCAGAAAAACATATTGGAATTACACAAGAGAAAGTAAGAAAATATGTAAATCAATGCACTACTTGTACCATAACTACTTCTATCAAAGAAAAAACCGATATGAAGAATGTGATATCAATAGTATCATGGCAGCAAATTCAAATTGATCTAATCGATTTCCGAGATTTTGCTAAAGTCAATAATGATTTTGCATGGCTACTTACATGTATTTGTGTGTTTTCTAAATTTCTGATTGCAGTTCCTATAAAGAATAAAGAAGCAAGCACAGTCGCGACACATCTTCTAAAAGATGTTTTCAAAGTTCTTGGACCCCCCATGATTAACAAAGTGATAATGGTAAAGAGTTTGTTGCAAGAATTATTATTGAAATTTGTGGAGCTCTTAATATTACAATCAGGCACGGTAGGCCTTGCCATCCACAGTCACAAGATCAAATTGAGCAACTTAACCAGACAGTGGGCTGTGGTTTTACTAAGTTGTTGTGGAATCAAAGTAACCAGTTACAGAGAAAAGACTGGATTAATGTAATTGACACGTTTGTTATGTCGTATAATTCAACTGTCCTCAAAGCACATGGCTGCACCCCACACAAAGCAATTTTCAAATGGAAAATGTATTGTGTATATGATACATCCGGTCTATATTATTTTTAATATAAAACTTAGAATTTGGAATTGATTTTATTTTTTATATTATAATAGTTACTAAACATATGATTTTTTTTGCTTATAACAGATTTCTCCAGAACTATCGCTGCTTCTGAAACTTCCACCTTTGAAACCATCACCACCACCTCTAAGACCACTGTTTTTGAAACCACCACCTCCGAAACTATAACAGACGAAGCTGCTATGGAACAATGCATTTCACATATACTTAAAATTCACCAATCCATAAATGCTTCACTTGAAAAGTATCGTGAAAAGTTAGGCCGTAATAATGTGCATAGAAAGAAAACGGCAAATAATAAATTGAAACTGGAACTGAAGTTGCTATTGCGCCCGATCATAATATGAATCAACAAACTCGCAAGAGAAAGTTGCAGCCAACCTTTTCAGAACAAGGTGTTTTTAAGTCCCTCAAGTCCAATAATTACACTGCAATTGTTAAAGTAAATGGCAAAGATATTCAAATTCCTGTCAAACGGGTCCGGGCTATAAAGAAAAAATTGTAATCGATTTTTAGAAAATTTTTTTTTTTTTAGAAATATTTTAGAAATATATTTTTTTTTTTAAAAAAATGTAAATTGAAAGATCGGTTACAGAAATGTGTTAGTTTAGGGTCACAATTAGAATAGATTAGGTTAGGGTTATGATGGGAACGAAAAGAGTTTTTTCAAACCTTTTTTTTTATTATAGTAAAATCATTGATGTTCTGTGAAATGATAATAGTATTACGGATTTTTTTTATTATAATAAAATCATTGATATTCTGTGAAATGATAATAGCATTACAGATCATACGTCAATTAAGTAGCATTTAGTTTTGTAGTTACGGTTCTATGGATTTAAGCCAAACTCCCCACCTGACAATGTCTTCAACATGGATCGGCCAATGAATGACCTTAACGCAGAAATGTAAGCAATGAAAGCATGAGGAGTTAATGAACAAATTCAAATAATCGAAAATCAGAGATCTCGAGGGAAAGAACAGTTACCATTCTTGTGAAATTGTTTGAATTTCAATCATCTGTTTCAATCGATGAAAGATTTGATGGGACATGGGCAACCGAATCGAATCATTGTTCAACAAACCTTATGAACTTCGAATTAATTCCAAATTCGTGCAATGAGAAATTTTCGGAAAAATGTCTTTATCAAGTTACTTACCTTTTACTTTAGTCTTACTTCCACCAAGACATTGCAATGTGATGCAAGTGTATTTAGCAAGAGAAAAATTGGTCTAAAAAAAAGATTAATAAATTAATAGTTAATGGTGATGATAAATGTAGCCAGTTTTGATGCTTACTTTTCCAAAAGACCCTAGTCCAATTTTTAGCAATAGATCAATCTTTTCCTGGACAATCTCTATTTTTGCTTTCGCAAGCATGCTTAAAACAATAATAGCATCACGGCGTTGTGCTTTCAGAATCTCCTTTTTGGATACAGCTAATATGAGATATTAAAACAAGAATAATATGATTAATATACTGTTACGACTTGCATGTTATTCTCGTATACTTACAATAAACCGACCACAACTTCGCGATAACTTCATCGCTGATATCTTCCTCATTCATGATCGTACTCAGAAGCTGTTCTAAAGACGTTAACTCGGCTAGGGTCGCATTGAACATCAAGCTAAAATGTTGATGCAGTGCTTTAGTTTTATTCCAAAAAGCATGCCTATTACTTGCTCAGGCAATATCTTATTAAATTCCTCGTTATGATGTATACATTCTCTTTATCGAATATTGAAATATCAAAATCGAAATACAGTTTACGATAGCTTTCGATCAATCATTTCCGAATTCCTTTTCCCTCATCATTATTATCTTTAGTCCAAATCAAGTGTAACATTTTCTTTAGCCCTTCTCTGGCAAATTTCATCTTATATGTGTAGGCCATGACAAAAAAATCAATAGCCTTCAAAACCTCTGATTTGGTTATAGAAACAAGAAGCTGACAGAGCGTCGGGATAGCAGTGTGTATTTGATGAATAAAACGAACAGCATCAGTATAATAATGTCGAGTGATCTGAAGTCTAGTCAGTTCCATATGTAACGAAGTTTGAGGAGTTTCTTCTGCTTCTTCACTTAACATGTCGATATCCATATCCTGTATATCACTCTGATCCTCTAACTCAGTAGATACTTCTCTTCCAGCTCCCATATCAACTATCTCTTGCGGAAGTTGTAATGCCTTTCATATCACAATAACATATGAATCGTGAAAATTAAAAACGAAGTCCATTTATAATTAAGAGAATTTCTTTATCTTTAGTTCCTCTTCAACATTTTTTAACCGTTCCTCCTATTCTCTGACAAATAATTCTCCTCCATGTATTAAACCATATGGATGCGTCGAAGTAAAAAAATGATAAAGGTAATAATATTTCACTGATAGGTTACCCCTCACTACTTATTTTATATTCTCTGTCTTTTCACAATATCAAACTAGAGTCAAGCTTAACAGGGTCTTCTTTTCTCGCTGATTTTGTCAAGCCCGTTTCCTTGGATGTGGTTTTGCTAGATAGTAGGTAGGAACAGTGGGAATCTCGTTAATCCATTCATGTGCATCACTAATTAGATGACAAGGCATTTGGTTACCTTAAGAAAGTCATAGTTACTCCCACCGTTTACCCGCGCTTGATTGAATTTCTTCACTTTAACATTCAGAGCACTGGGCAGAAATCACATTGCGTCAACAGCCATCGCAATGCTATGTTTTAATTAGACAGTCAGATCTCTCTTGTCCATGCCAGTTCTGAGTCGATTGTTAAGCGTATACCAGACAGACACCCGTTGCCAAGTATTCAAGCCAAGACCTTCCAGCCCAGGTGAAACCAAGCTTTCCATTGAAACTGGCATCAAGGAACTCCTGAATCTCCAAATCGAGGTCCAATGCATCCAACCCTTAAAACCAATTCATTTCCCGAAATTACGGATCTAATTTGCCAACTTCTCTTACACACATTATTCTATCAACTAGAGGCTGTTTACCTTGAAGACCTGCGGTTATGAGTACGACCTGGCATGAAAATAATTATTTCCATGTTTTTCAAGGGTCATCGAGAGTGCATCAGACCCAACAAAAATGTCGAGTTCTTCACGTCCTTAAACCATATCTCTGGCCACTTCAGTCTTCAAAGTTCTATCACCAAGATCTGCACTGAGAACCGTTCCATCAAGGTCTTCGTTTATGACTTCGTTACCAGGATCCTCATACCTGCCTACTCGTCAGAGTATCAATATAACCCTGACAGTGAGGTATGGGTATCACGTTGAGCACCATCAATTTTAGGACTAGTTCATTCAGCAGGTGAGTTTTTACATACTCCTTAGCGAATTCTCACTTCAATGACTACCGTTTTGCTGTCTAAGTGTGAATTCTGGTACCTTAATCTCACGTTCGGATATTTGATTGGTTATAAGGGAAGTGATTCAGAAATCCGCTACTTATCATGTGACATATATATCACATGAATTTCAGCATCATCCGATTTCAGCATTATCTCCGACAAGTAATATAACCGTAATGATGAACTGTGGGCGATGATTCTTACTTTCAAATTTCAAAGGTGAATAGAAGGTTAAGATAGCAATTTTTTTATTTTCAAAGTCATATCTAAAGATATAGTCTAAGATAGGTATTCAAGGTAGTAGAATAGTAAATACAATACAATGTATTATACATTATTTGTTTTTTGTAAAGATTTAATAAACATACAATATATACTTGTTTGACTATGAAAGAAAAAAAAAAGAATTACTAAGTAATATATTGTAAATAATTGAAAATTGTATTTAATTTTAGAATTATATTATCAATCAAATTTCCTTTTATAGTAATACAAAACATATTTTTTTTTTTTTTTAACGGCTAAGTGAGACTTTTCTCTAGTCTTTATTAATATGTCGAGTTGTTACATACATTACATATATAAGGATTAGACTATATTAATTTTTCATATATAAACTAGAGTCCACCCACAGGTAACTACGACCATCCGGGTTAAGTCTGCCACCATTATTTTTTTTTTTTTATTTTCTGAATCTTCTTTAACTCTGAATCTTACTTAACACCCTATTCACTCTAATTTATTGTATATTTTAACCCTATTCAATTGTATCATATTTTTTACTTAATGTAACCTACTGGAAATGATTATTAAACCCACTTGTTCCGTACTGGATACTTGCGCATATCTTCCATTTCTGGCAATTAGCCTATTACCAACCAAGCGATCGTCACACCACAACACCTTTTTTACTATTACTCCCATTGATATGCAGAGTCCTTCTTTCGCAAGAGTTTTCCCAACAGTTTGACCTAATATGGGTGCAGATACCTTTATGTATCCTGCCGGTTAAAGTTTTCCAACGATCTAAACCCAGTAAGGGTCAATCTAGTCGGTCAAAGCCTTTTTTCGTCAGCAGTTAGACCCGATATGGTATGCAGTCGTGCATCCTG